TATTTGTTATTACTCAACATTGATAATAATAATAATAATAATAATAATAATAATAACTATTATTATTATTATTTCCCGTTGTTATAATTTATTATATCCCCCTTATAATTTAATAATAACAAATAACAATACAAATTCTATGATTAATATTAATAATCATAAAAATGAATAACATGATAAAGAAGTATTAATAATAATAATAATTAGTGCTCTCAAACGATTAATCACGATTAATCGCATCCAAAATAAAAGTTTTTTGGAACTACTTCATAGCTATGTTTGAAGAACAATTAACCAATAATAATAATAATTTATAAGTAGTAGTACTATTATTATTATTATAATTATTAATGGTTTATTTATTGATCTTTGAACATATAGCTATGAGGTAGTTCAGAGCTGACCACATATTTATTATAGAATTTAGAGTAGGATTTTGAACCAATGAGATTTCACTTTGGATGGACAAGCCAGGGCTACAAAATAGAAACCAAGCAACAATTGTCGTTTTCGTTCATTGCTTGTGATTCTTGTGGCAAGTGAGGAGAAACACTCTACCTCTGTTGGAGTTACTGTAATTCTCTAACTCTGTAATTTTGAGGGTGAAATTGTCTTTCTTCTGATGTTCAGGGCATCTCCATGACCCAGAGGATCAGCCCATGCTCTAGCTTAGCTAGCAGCACAGCGTCGCCCCCTCCTGGCAGCCCCTGCTCTACGTTGCCCGCTGGAGCTCCGGGTAACATGGGCACCAGAGACTGTGCTTACGGATCCATCACGAGTCCCACCTCCACCCTGGAGAGCCGAGACAGCGGTATTATAGGTGAGAGACATTCTGTAGCTTGTTTTAGGAACAGAAATGAATGCTAATCATTGATGTACAAATACAAAAATGACCGTTCAAAAATGTCTCTGTTTCAAATCTCTCGTTGCTTTCTTGCAGCAACGCTCACAAGTTACTCAGAGAATGCCGAGCATGGAGGTAAACACAGCGAGGGCTCTCGGGGCAGCCTGAAACTCTGGCAGGCACAGAAGTCAATGGGTGCAGACTCTTTTCTTTATCGGGTGGATGAAAACATGGCCGCTTCCACATACAGCCTCAACAAAATCCCAGAGAGGAGTCTGGAACATTCCGTCTCTCACTCCGCCCACTCCATCCCCCTCTACCTCATGCCCCGCCCCAACTCTGTGGCTGGTAAGTTTCAGTTTTTAATTTATGGCTATGTTCAGAATACTGTATGAATATGTCAGAATACTACATGTCTATAAGTATTATGTGAAATATAAGTGTGCAGTATGCATACTGTATAATTATTTACAATTTTTATTCAACTTTTGGCAGTCAAGTCAAACAGTGAGTCAAGAAAGACGCTGAAATTGCACTTGACAATGTTTCCAGTCTCATTGTAAACTGGGGGATCCAGTGTCCCACACGGTGTGCTCTCAAATTTTGGCAGTTATAGTTGAAAATTTGCATATTGTGTACAGTATACATACTGCCAAAATAGTACTAGGAGTATTAGTAGTTTGCCAGTCCGAACATACCTTATTAGAATAGATTAGATTCAACTTTGTCACTGCAGAGTAGTACAAAGCCAATGAATCACAAAAGCGTCTTACCAATATAAATTAAAATATAGAAATAAATTAAATATAGAAATGTGCCATCTGAAATTTTCTTCTAAAATTTGCATTTTTATCAGGCTCCTATGTTTAGGTTCAGTAATTTTACTTTAATGACAATGTATAGGTCCTTGTCTGTGCCATTAAAGTGAAATAAATTAACAAATATAGGAGCCTGATAAAAATGCTAATTTTAGGTAAATTTCAGACAGCACTTAGAGCCTTTTGCATCTGAACTTTTCAAATGTTTAAATAATTTAATTGTTAATATAAATAATAATTATTAAATTGATAATAATAATAATAAATTAGCTGAAATGATAATATAATATAATATACTATACTATAATAATGCATCTGCAATGAAAATAAGACTGAATTTATGTGATCATAATTTGTTTAGCCCACAATTAGTCTACTATACTATATTACATAAATTAAATTTGGTTATAGTTTAGGCTGCTTAACAATGTTACATCATATTCTTAACAATAACTATTATTATTATTATTATTGCTGCTGTTGATATGGTTATAAAGAATGATAAGAACTATCATTTGTTAACCTAACAGTAGGCTGCATAAATAAACAAATGATGGTCACATAAATTAAATTATTAAGCATGTCTTGTTCAATCAGATTTTAGAGGTGGGACTATCCGTTTTATAAACATTCAGTTTACTTTATCTTGGCAATTCCTTCTAGAATATATGTGCCTATACCTATATTGCTTTGCTTCCTTTGAGTCATTTCAGTAACTCAGTATTTTCATTTCAGTTGTTATTTAACCCTAGATTAACTGTAAAATGGCAGAAACCTCCATATTATGCTGAGCTAGTCAAAACTCAGTCCAGCATTCAAATCCCGTTAGTTACAAACAGTCACATTCATCTTTCACCGCGCGTGAATATTTGCAGTCAGCTCTGTGTGAAACTCATTCAGCTGAGGCTCTTTGAACACTTCTGTTCATGAATGGTGAACTGCGGAGACAGGAAATATCCCGCATAATCCAGACTCTAAAAGTCAACAGACACGTGTTTCCAATTCCCTTAAAATGTCAAGGTCAGAAAAAGCACACAGTGATTACTGTGAGAGCTATAGAAGTGCCCCTCTTCTCAGTTTTTATGGGCTATTTGAGCTCTGGAGCGGCTCCTAGCTCCTGATGCTACCCCGTTACAACAAAGCAAGGATGTCCGTGTGAATCTCCTCCAGGTTTTATGAAGGATTTGTGGTTTGTGCTGCTGGTTTTGGATCCACATGTGAGAAAATAGTATCATACACAGTAGCCCAGTTCAATGTACTGTAATTTTTTTTTTCCCCACTGTCAACTTTGGATTTTTGAAGGTTTGCTAGAAGAAATGTCCAAAATAAAGTAAATTCAATGTTTATAAAATCTGAACACAAGCAAGCTTAATTTAATTAATGTGACCATCACTTGTTCAGCCTACAGTTAAGTTACCAAATGATATTGCTTATTCTTTATAATTACGATAACAACTACATCAATAATAATAACTATTATTTATTTACTTTTTATTCATTTGTTTACTTCTTGTTTATTCATTTCAATTCAGTTCAATCTATTATTATTATTATTAGTTTTAGAATTAATGTTCATATTAACAATTTATTTATGTATTTATCTTTGAGCATATTGTTATGAAGTAGATTATTTTAATTCATCAGTCTTTCTGAATTGTTTCAAATGAAGCACCACAAAAATAAGAGAGCGTAAATACTGATAAAATTCATTTAAAGATGTACAGTAAGTGTGACGTGTGTATGAGAAGACATCTTCTCACATACTCCCAGCATGCACCTTAGTGAAGTGAAGGCAGTTGGTGGCAGCAGTGAGTGAATGACGTGATCTGTTTGTTCATCTATATTCGCATCTGTCTTTTCTCATACTCTCCTCACCTCTCTCTCGCTTTCTCTCTCCCCCTGATTTTCTTTCTTACTCATGCACGCTCACCTCTCACGCTTTTCCTGTCATTCACTCTCTTCCCTCACACTTTTCATTTCTTTCTCTTTCTATCCTCATCCCACCCACTCATTCCCTCACCTCCTCTCTGTGTGTGTGTGTGTGTGTGTGTGTGTGTGTGTGTCACTCCCTCAGTTCGTCTTTCATTCCATCTTCCCCGTTCAAAGCTGATCTCTGAGTTCAAGAAGCATTTGATTATTTTTTTTCAAACAGAAAGACTGGTATGAGTCTTGTTCTCCTTTGTTCACTTCCTGTCACATATACAGTGGGTACGGAAAGTATTCAGACCCCCTTAAATTTTTCACTCTTTGTTATATTGCAGCCATTTGCTAAAATAATTTAAGTTAATTTTTTTTCCTCATGAATGTACACACAGCACCCCATATTGACAGAAAAACACAGAATTGTTGACATTTTTGCAGATTTATTAAAAAAGAAAAACTGAAATATCACATGGTCCTAAGTATTCAGACCCTTTGCTGTGACACTCATATATTTAACTCAGGTGCTGTCCATTTCTTCTGATCATCCTTGAGATGGTTCTACACCTTCATTTGAGTCCAGCTGTGTTTGATTATACTGATTGGACTTGATTAGGAAAGCCACACGAATACTTTCCGTACCCACTGTACATACAGTACATGCACCTTCACATATGTACATAAAACCATAGATATGTATAGGTAGATGCCTTATTAGTAGCTGTTTCTGTGGCCTGATATACAGAAGCCGTCTGCCATATTGGAACAGTCAAAGATGGTCCGCAAACGCTCAAGAACAAGTTGACTGTGTCTGCAACCGTAGTTATACGCATAAATGCATATCTATATCTGCAGTAGACTTCAGCAGATGATTTTTCCAAACTATCACAACAGCACAAGACGAAGCGGTTAGCTAACACGACATAAAAAAGTTACCATAGTTGAAAAACCTGTAATACAGAGTTGATACATATTAAAAACACAAACCAGCACATTATTACATGTGAAAGGTTATCTCATTTCTTCAGGAATTTAAATTGCAGTGGGTTTTACAACCAGAGGCCGGGCAACGTTGTGGCACAACTCAAATCAAAAATTTATTTTTATTGTGAGTGACGACACGTTAACCGTTCCAAGATGGCGGACGTGTCGGTGTGTCTAGAGCGGTCGAATGTGGCATCTACCTATACATATCTATGCATAAAAATACACAAAATGTGTTGCTAGGTGGTTGCTAGGGTGTTGTTGGTGGTTTCTTATTGGCACAAATTAAAAGAACACACTGCCAAGTCTTGAATGTTCTTATCTCTAGAAGTGGCTCACGTTTCTTCCCTTTTTAAGTCTAAAGTTGTGGCCACATTAGCTAAATTTTGGTGATTTCATGGGCAAAAAGGTCAATTGTCTGTTATCAGTAGTGTAGCAATGTATGAAGCACAACTTGCACAAAAAATATTTTGCTCTTATGTGACCATTCGCTCAACAAAGGTAAATGTGGCCGCACCTTAAGTATTTTTTTAGGTGAAAATCGCTAGTCTGATCACCTAGAAAAGCATACGTTATTATATGTTTATCTTCCATATAGAAGTATCATGTAAGGACACAAACAGATCTCCATGTTCAGACCAGGTTAGAGATATGTAGATGTGCACATGTTCAGACGTTTAGTGTAAACTGCAGACGTGCCTTCTGGACCAGCGCCACGGTGGGGCTGTAAAACACCAGTTCAGTGATGGGAGCCAAAGTCATTGTGACGCATTTCAAGCGGCTGTAAATCCAGCAACACAGTCATGCCAGGCAGACAGTCGGCAGTGCAGATGGAAGTGATGGAAGTGGTGGGGTTGAGCAGGAGAAATGCTGGTGTCTGGGATATTTTTCACATTTTCACATTTCATATTTATAGATATGACCTGTTCACAACAGGAAAAATTCCTACAAAGATAACAATAACCTTGTTAGCATCCAGACCAATAGACAATAATGTTCTGTTTATTTTTAGCATGTGGTGTGGTTATGTAGTCTGTTGCTTTAAAAGCTTGAGTTCTTTGAAGTCGGGTGGATTCTGTTTGGTCAATGTTTTTATTGTTCATCAGCTGGAAAATTTTGCTCTGAAAGTGATTTCAACATTATTGTTCCTGTTTGTCATTAGCGTTTATTGTGGAATTTACTTATTACTTATTACTTATTTACTTACTTACTAATTAGAATGATTAGAATGAATAACTTTATCGTTCTAATTGAACAGGTGTGAACAGGCCTTTACACTGATGGGGATTTGATATTAATTTATTATGGTTTTACAGTAGTAACATTAAATGTAACCTTTTTCGAATTTTGTAATAACATCTTTCCCAGCTTGCTTAAAGGGGTCATAGGATGCTACATGCACTTTTACAAGTTGTTTGAACTGAAGTGTGTTGGCAGTGTGTGTACACAACCACCCTATAATGATAAAAATCCACACAGTGTTTTTTTTTTAATCTGGTTAAATGTTTTCCCCTTTTTCAAATCGAGCCGATCTCAGATGCCTGTTTGTGTGACGTCACAGGAAAATGGGCATCCTATGACCCCTTTAAAGTTTGCAAACTTTGTCATTGATATAGTGCTGCAGCCGTGACGTCAAAACCTAGAAGACTATTTTGCTACTGGTTCCTTTGAGATTTTCCTAAGGGGTTTTTCATGTCATAAGTAAAATAAGATCTGCGTTAAACCTAATTTGACGATACTTTGATATTTTGTTCTTCAATGTAAACTGCACACACTCACACCCCAAACATTCTTATGTAGTTGCTTATTAGAAACATGTTTTATAAAATAAACATAATTGCTTCAAAATTCATGTTTTACAGTATAGATATGTGTAATTCACATTGTAAAGCACAGAACATCAAAGTATCATGAAGTTATGTTTACCACAGACCTTATTTTACTCATGAATTGAAAAAAAAAAACATTATAAAAACCAATAGGAAAATCTCAAGGGAAGCATTGGCGAATTAGTCTTCCAGGTTTTGACGTCACGGCTGCAGCTCTTTAAAGTTCCTGCTCAAACACGTTGAGGTTCTCTTAGGGGAGGTTTGGTTTATATTACTAAACTGTTGTTCCACACATGTACACCAACAGGAAGCTATGGGGCCATGGGTGGGTTTCTGAAATCTGTCTTCGATTAAACACATTAGCAGAGAACGAAAGGCTTTCCTTAGTATGTGGCACCTTGCATCTTACTTTGATAGTGGCCACTTGTCCATAACGCCAGTGTTAACACTGCCACAATAATGTTAGCTGTTCTTCTGTAGTTTCAAGAGCACTCTCCAGCTGCTTTGAGGTGAGATAAACTCAGTGGCCACCCACTGTGTTCTTAATATTCTTGTGTATCAAGCCGCCATGAACTTTCCTCCTCATTAGCAAAGGAAAAGGGGCTCAAAATTCATGCATGCACTTTCATGTAAGCTAATAACAACAAGCTAAGCAAACACAGCTCTCATACAGTTTGTCAAAAGGTTTGACTCATCACTAACAACAAATACACAGTACCATGTTTTGATAGTACCATGAAATACCACTGTTTTCGTATGAAATACCTTGTAAAATAACTTGGTGTGCCATCATTTGCAAGTCGCTTCATGTAAAAGCTTGTAATGAATGAAGTTAAATACAAATACCATGGTACTTCTATAATAATTTACTGACATGGTATATATCCAAGTACAATCTGATTTTAATCTTTTACCATGGTAAATGGTTTATTAAATAAAAACACTGTCAGATTTACTTCATAGCTGAAGTTGAGGGTTGATTCATTTCTGGCGAAGTTAAACTGACAGTAAACTTATTAATGCTGTTGAAAACTTTTGGAACAACGAGCTCCTTCTGGAGCCTGTTTGCCAGAATATGTTTGCTTCTTTTTAATAGCTTCTCTTCATTCGCTTGGCTGCTGAAATGAGGAAATGCATAATAAATGGTTTCTGTTGATGAGCAAAGACAGGCTCCACTGCGCACATCTTTACGTATGCCACGACAGAACTCCAGTTCCAGCCGCTCTGGACAAGTGGACATGAGAGGTGTGTATATTTTTTCTAGATTTATTACATGTATGTGACCACATAAATTTTTATCCTTCCACTCTTCACTTGTTTCACTTCACCACCACCTTGTACTGTATATTACCAGTCACAAGTGTAGACAGACCTACTGATTCTATGTAAGTCAAGTCACAATTCTTTATATAGTGCTTTATACAATACAAATAGTTTCAAAGCAGCTTCACTGTAATAAACAGGAATATAGGAGTATTAATGTTGCAGTGTTCTTCAATTTTGAAACAAATACTGTTTTAGTTGTAAAGCAGCTCTAAAAAGACAATAGTGTCATTAGTTCAATTTAGTTCAATTTAGTCAGTTTAGTTCAATAACAGTGTGAGTATTGCAAAGTTCATTAGTTATGAAGCAAACTATAAAGCAGCTCTATAAGATAATAAAACAAAGAGAAAGAAGGATGGAATTATTATTTATTGACCAAAAATGTAAATCAAAACATTTTTTTTATTATTCAGCAGCTTGTTGGGGGTGTTGCTACTTATTTTACATGCAAAGTGAAAAGCCAATCATAACAGCCATCACTTACATATAAGGTGCAGTAGAAATACAGCCATCTTAGTCTGAGAGAGGGTGGAAAATGGTCATTTAAATCTAAATTATGACTGATTTTGGTGGCAGAACCTTGATTAACATTATAAGTGGACTTTAGGGGAAACAAAAACAGAATTCTACAAAATAATAGAATATGTCCCTTTTTAGAATGAATCTCTGCAATGTAATGTGTGTGTCTTGCCTCTCGTACATCTGCTCTCCGCTAAACACAGCATGTCCCATTAAAACCCTCAACACACACGGCAGCTCTTCCGCGGATCACTCTCCCCCCTCGTCCTGCTGTGCTCGGTTTCCCCTTTGGACTGCCGTGCCGTAATCTGTCTCCTGTCCAGATCGATGTATTGACTTCCTATTAGCATTAGCTCTGGCTCATCTGTCAGAGCTCAGCCTGCTGTCTAAAGCTCACAGTCAAGGCTCCACACATCCTAAATCATGCCAGGTGGGAGCGAGCCTTGGAGGTCTGGGTTTCCTCTCAGATTCATTCAGAACTCCAATAGCTTGAGCCACAATTCACCAAAAAACCCGTTTAGTTCAGGAAGACTGCAAGGTGACAAAGCAGTGGAGGTGGACTGTATCTGAGTGTTTATTTATACACCCTTTTCACATTTCCGAGGTTCTCAGAAGCGGAAGTCATCATAGTTGTGTAAACCTCTATAGTGGTGAACGAAAACTACAACAGATATAATTTTTGTGTTTCCATTTGATCCAAAAGCAAAAGAACAAATCCACGATAGTGTTTCTATGACCTTACAAAAGAGGAAAAAATGGAGAAAGTTTGCCATCAATTCCTCTGCCGTTGTATTAGAAACCCTCATGCAGTAGCGTTAACTAGTTTTCTGTAATTTAATGCCATACAACACAAAATGTAGTATTATAAATGTATATTTTTAAAATGAAAATTTAGTAAAATAATAGCTGGATTTACAATGTTAAAGGGGTCATATGATACGATTTCAAGTTTTCCTTTCTCTTTGGAGTGTTACAAGCTGTTCGAGAATAGATAAGATCCCTAAAGTTGCAAAGACTAAAGTCTCAAACCCAAAGAGATATTCTTTATAAAAGTTGACTCGTCCACAGGGTTGCCAGGTTTTCACAAGAAAACCAGCCCAATCGCTACTCAAAACTAGCCCAAAACTAGCCCAATTGCGTTTCGAGGGGGTCTCCAGTTAAAAATCGCATTCCAGGGGGTAAAATACAAGTTTTTTTGGCGGGGTTCCCCTGCTAAAATTCGCATTCCAGAGGATAAATATCATGTTATTGGAGTCGCTTCAACCCGCGGACATGAAAAACAACCCGCGGCAACAGTGTTAAAGTAGCCCAATTCCGAGGGAAAACCGCAGACTTGGCAACACTGCTCGTCCACGCCCTCCTAAAACGGCTCGTTCTAACATGCCCCCACATGTCTACGTCACTGTGTGGGAAGATTTGCG